CGATTTTCTAGTTAGAAAATCGAAAGTGAATTCATATAGGCATTCCTGGAATTTCGCTTATGATATATCGATTAGAACATATTTTACAAATTTGAAAATCAAGTTATTTTATACTCATTTTAATATAGCACTTTCAATTTATTATATATATGATACTTTAATACATGATGCATAATTATGAAAAGTTCACCATTAAATAAAAGTGAAACAACTTTTAAAAAGTTAACAATAAAAAAACAAATAGTTCATATTCACAAAAAAATAAGCATTTCTACATACAAACATAAACATACATTATAGATTTGAAGACCTGGTATGAAAAATGCGAAGGAAACGAAGTGTTAATTTAAATCAATATTTAATTTATATTCATTGAAAAATCTTTTTGCAGCCACTGATAAAAAAAATGATCTTCTTTTAAATGATAATCCATTCAAAACCTCGAGTGTTGCACGAATTTTTGTTGGATATTCTATATTGAATATTTCATAAGAACCAATCAAAACAGCCATTGCTTCAGCTTGAGAATTCGTTGTAATTAATTGATTATATTCAATAACGATAGAATAATTTGTAGTATCATTGACCTTTTGGATTTGAATCATTGGATAAGCATCTATAGTTTCCTAAAATAAATAAAGATAAAAATTAAGAATCAAACTTGAAAATTTCTATTTTATTATCGATATAGCACTCACATGATGTAATAATAGTTTCTTCGAATGTTTATAACGTTTCATGATTAAATGTTCCAAGATAAAGAAAGGTTGCTCTTCTAAAATAAGGAAGATAATATAGGATGATAATTTAGAAGTATTACCTCTAATAATATTTTCTTTTTGTGAATGATCCAAATATTTGAGTAGTTTCGTGCAACTTGACTTTAATGTTTCAACAATGTCTCCATCGAATGGATCAAAATGGACATTAATTTCACGAATTATCTATACACGAAAAATAAATGAAAGTAAATCAATTTTTTATATAACAGTGAGAATTGGTGAGTTAAAATAATATATTCTTTAAGACTTACCAGATCAATCACTGTTAAAGCTGGATATAAATCAATAATTTGTTTTATTGGCTTCATTTCTTGCACAAGACGGTGACGATGTGGATACGTTATGTCCATTTTTGCTTTAATTTGACCATAATCATAGTTTGTTGTGTTTATTAAAACACGCATTGAATCAGCTTGTTGAGACAATTGCATTAAACATTCTTGAGATTGTTCTTTTTCTTGAATCAAATACTCCTAAAAAGAGAAAAAAAGAAGTTGCAGAATAAAGCAACATTTAAGTACTTACACGATGAGATACTAAATCAACTTTAACAAATTTTAGCTTACGTCCTGACAATAAATGACCATATGACTGTCGTTTTTTCAGTAATACATCAGATGAACAACCATATTGTTGACGATCGCGTGAAAATTGTTGTTTTAATGCTGATGTTAGTAAACTCTAAACGAGAAAGAAAATATGGTGAAAATAAAAAAAATATTCAATATTGTATCACTTATACCATATCTTCGCCGAATACTTTACTAAGTGCTGGATATTTATTTTTCACACTAACAACCATTCGGTCAAATTCAGATGCAGTTGGATAAAAGTCAATGCCATAGGTATTGGCTACATCATCACGAATTGTTTTAACAAGTTGTTGTTTTTTTCTGCACCGCAGTCCAAAATCTGTTTTCGATGGATCTTCTGCAGCTTTCTCGAAAGCTTTATCAAATTGTGGAAGCACGTAATTCAATGGAAATTTTTTTTTCGATTGAGATATTGACGTAATTGAAGAATTATCTAATGATTGGTGGATTCTTTGATCGATTGTTGTATCTTGTGGTGGTAAAAATTGTGAACTCGAGGAAGATTGATCATTCAATTGATTTGAAACATTTGTGGTCGATAAAGAAACTTTGAGATGATCTTGATTACCAATAACGTGATGTTCAGTATCAATGTTAAAGTCATGAAAAAATGATAAATTATTTGAAGCGTTTGAATTTATTTCATTTATTAAAATGTCCGATTGTTTTTCATTTAATGTCAAAATATTACTAAGTGGAACAAAAAAGAAATGAATGATAAGAAACGAAAAAAATAAACACTCACCTAGAACTTGAAAAAACATCTGATTTTAACATCTCCAGCTTTTTTTCGAACTTTGTTTTAATACCTATTGTTGGCTTCTTAATAACATTATCAATAGTATTGATTGATAAAAGTTCATCGATTGATGATGAACTCAAATTTAAAAGAGTTAAACCATCAATTTCTTCGTCTAAAATAAGGTAAAATAAAATAAAATAAGATAAAAATAGATTTACATAAAAAATAGATGATTTCTGAATACCTTTAAACTTATTTACGCATTTGTCAAAACCATTCTCCATCAACCATATTGAAACATCTTCCTGAGTCCAATCCATCGAAAATATATCTAAAATAGATTAAAAAGAAAAAATATATATGATTTTAGTTTTTTTGAAGCTGTTGAAGAAAAATAAGCGAATATCAAATATTTATTAAATATCGAATTAATAAATGAACATAAGTACGTACAAAAAAAAAGATCATTCAATAACAGTTAATCGATAAGGTACACGAATGAAATATGAATTATTTATATAATAACAATCTTCTGCTTTATGCGTTAAAAATTCATTTTTACCCAATATGCAATTATTGTTTGATGGATTAATTTCATAACACCATAAATTTTGTCTAAATGTAATTGTATCATAACATTGAACAATAAAACGCCATTGTTTGACTATATGAATAATAAATTTAATTTTAACGAATAATGGAATTTCTTCTCCACCTAATAAATAAGCAACAAAAAAATCTCCGACCTTGTATTTAACATTATCTATCAATACCCATTTGACAAATTCAACAATGTCGCCATAAATGAATTGATTGTCATCAAGTAATGCTTTTTGTATTGATTGATTAAAAGTTATTTTGCGTCGTGTATGAATTTTACCACTAACATTATTTAATTTAAATACATTTTCATCAATTAATTCGTAACACTGGCGAAGTTGTATACGTTTAGAAATCGTGTATGGTAAATTAATAAAATTATTACATCGATTGGCGATTTGTTTTAACAAATGATGTTTTGCTTCATAACGTAAATTCATTTGCCGTTTTAAAGGACCATATTTTGCTGTATTTCGTGCTGCATGAAGAAGATAGTGAAACTTGGGAGTGAATTGTTCAGGAAAAATTGTTTGAAACAATTGTATAAATTCTTCAATTAATTCTTGAAGAGTTGACAACCAAGATTTTCTTGGAAAATCACAGTATAACATATCCCATATTTCACGTAATAGTTCATATAAAAACCAATAAGGAATTTTGTCAACAATATTGAATAACATAAATGGCAAATTCAAAAATAAACAATATTTTTCCATAGCTTTTCCTACAAGAAAAAAGATATATATTATTGATTCCAGAGTGATAGTTTTTTGTGTTATTTCTTTTTCTTTTTAATGATCACCAAGTGTCGAATTCATTGTTGAGATCAAAAAAAAAAGATTTGATGTTTACCTCGAATAATTTTTTCCGAAATATCTTTTTCTTTCAATACAGTTGGTCGATTTCTTTTATCGTTGCTACCATAAGTAAATTTGTTTATCATTTGACATATTTTTGAAGATGTGCATAAACGATTAGACACCACCACGTGTAATAGGCAACTAGTTAATTTAGGCATGATACCTTCCATTACATCATGCATCAAATCGGGTGGCAGAGAAGTAATAGGATGAAACGATGAAATAAATGATAATGCTGATGCTTCATTGATACCATACATAGATTTATCTGAAGGCACGTTTTCTACATGTTTTAGCTGAATATCATGCGATTCAGCTGTACGAATTAATGTTTGTGATTCCTTGTAAATATGTTTTATATCGTGATGATGCGTGAAACAATAACGACAAAAATAACCAGTAGTAAAAGTTCTTGTAAATCCACCAAGTTCATGAGCTAAATAAAAATAAAATTAATAGAAGAACTAAGTGTTAAATTATGTAGGATATAAATTTACGCCAGCCATGGTAGTATTAAATAAATTGTACATCAAATGCAGTGTTCGTTAAAGAATACTTTAATTTTAAAATTATTCAACTTTTTAAAAATTTTCGCTGTCACCCTTTTCTTTTTACAAAATATTTTATTGAAAGATTTACCTGCTAGATTATCAGCACATAATGTGCTAATTGTAAAATAAGTCGGAGTTTTATCACCAGGTAATATAAGACCATCATTTTCCAAGCTTCTTAAATCTTGACCTAATTGTTCAAATAAAATTCGACGATTGTTTTGATCTTCAAAATCTTTTTTATAATATAATAAAAGTAAATATACGACACTTAAAGAAGAACTATGGCGTGATGGTAAATCATCAAGCGAAAAATAAAATGTTGTCAATTTGTGTACAGCAGTCTTACCCATCAATGGATTAACAACACCTAAATCATCAGAGTACAACTGTAATAATAAAGAATTTTTTTTATTATTTAAGATATGATGTTGTCGTCCAATTTCTGCATTTCGATAATGATAAATAATATCTTGTTCATGAAATTGAGATATAAGTTCTTTTTCTTGTTTAATGCTGTCATAAAAATCTTTTTTTTCAAATAAATTCATAAGTAGATCACATAATGGAATGTAATAAGCTTTATTTCCCGTAGGTAAGATTATTTCTTTTGGTTTGACAAACTTGAAATAAATTTGACAAGAAGAAATAAATGAATCTTCACTTTTTGATATTTCAAATAATGTTTTTTCAACATCATTGTTAAAATTGTTTGATATGGCATTATCAATATTCATGTGAAGTTTTGATAACAAATGATATGAAAAAATTTCTAACAGACAAGTAATAGATAATACCATAGTCTTCATAATATTACCAGGAAGTACATGACCTTCTCGTACTTTTAACAGCATCTTCAAATAAAATTTTTTGATATCATCTAATGAATCATGATTTTCGTATTGCCACGATAAAATTCGTTGTTCTTGTTGTTCACCTTGTTCTTGTTGTTCATGTTGTTCAATTTCAATTTCACCATAATTGTTTAAATTAAAGTCATTACAATCTAGTAACAATGGCAACGGAGGCATTTCTTGAGAAGAACAACCTAAATGATGATTACGAAAATGATTCATAAAAGATTTTAGATTAGTAAACATAAAACAAGAGTCACACAATGGACAGTTTGTGCCAAATAAACGATCATTCCCATGCACTTGTCGCATATGGCGCAGGTATCCAGCTTCTCCGTCAACACTTACAGGACAAATGGTACATTGTTTAACACGACTAATAGACATTGATGAAGTAATAACAGATATAAATTGAATAAATCAAATAAGCATAATCTTAAAGTGAAAAGAAAAAATGCATAATATTAAAATTCATAGCTATGTGGCTTTTTTGTTTTCTGGATACAATAACTACTAATCCCATACATGTGAAATATAGTAGATATACGAACATGCTTCTTCTATATATAGCAACAATATGGGTACCAAATAATGAAAAATAAGTGATTGCATAATAGTTCAATAATGACCTAACAATAGGCGACGTCAACGATGACAATGGTTACCAAAGACGAAGAGGACGACGAAAATGAATTCGAAACAAACAAAAGAAAAATGATGTGAAATATATGTGCTGAATAATATGATACTAAATTTATCTAGCGTCAATACAATGGAAAAGATGGCGATACGATAAAAGCAAAAGAAAACGAATAACTAATGGAGAAAAGTTATTCGTCGTCCAACTTAGTTTCATCTTATTTTTCCAAACTTGAAAAGAATTTTTAAGTATTTTCTCTTCGTTCCGATCAGTCTCAATTAAGATGTAGCTACTTTTTTGGAAAAAATTCTTTAATATTGTAGCAATAATTGATTTTGCTGCAAGAATCGGCATCGTAAATATAAGATATAAAATTTAACACATTTTTGGTCAAAGAATATATAAATTCGCTACAAGCTGACCTAACATATGCATCAAAGGCATTATCAACATAGATGAATGAAAGCAATTTTGTTTACATGTTTCAAATAATCGTACGCACTCTTGCTAATGTAAAGTATTCTAGAATAAAATTTCGCACTGTTCAGGTCTCAAGTTACTAGTTGTAATTGAAAAATCTGTGCAACTAACTTTTCGTAAATAATCAGTAGAACTTAATATAGTATAGCTAACGAATTTTGTCTAATAAATGAATAAAAAAATTGAATCTGATCACATTACAAATATATTGGACTGAGGAAATTATGGATTGTGAACATTAGGAACCAATCATATAAACTAATTTAAAAAAAGCTAGTGATAAGTACATAACTATAAACATCATTACTTTTCCGAATTCGTAATTGATTTTCAAATTATGTTCATAATCCGTATCGATTTTCTCCTTTTTCGAAAATCTATGTTTTGAGAAAATCAAATTGAAATTTTGTCATTTTGAAAATCAAAGATTTTCAAGATGCACTGAATTCAATAAATGAATCATGAATCGCTAAAAATCCTCAAGCTTTCTCATCCTCGATTTTTGAAAAGATAGAATTTAAAAAAAAATTACAGTGTATAGTATAACTTAAATTCATCCATGGAAGAGTCTAGTACGTTTAGA